AAAAAAAAAAAAAAAAAAAAAAAAAAAAAATGGTGTGTTTATTCTTACATGTTTAAACTTCAGTCACCTTCGAAGTACTCTCCATTTGATGCAATGCACTTATCGAGACACTTTTCCTGCTGCTCAAAACAGTTTTTGAACTCATTCATTTTGATGCCATTTAGTGCCATTTTTTGTTTCACCTCTTTCACATGGGCAAAACGTTTCCCTCTGAGGACTTGTTTCATCTGGTGAAACAAAAACAGTCGCTCGGGAAGAGATAGGGTGAGTAGGGAGGGTGGGGCACCGGGATCAGGCCGTTTGGGGTCCACAAGTGCTGAACGTTCTGTGCCCTGTGGGCAGGTGCGTTGTCATGGTGGAAGAACCTGTCACCTGTTTGCCACAACTCAGGACATTTCTTCCACAATGCAGTATGTCACAACAACGCTAGCTGGTATACTGATGCCAATGGGCTCCTAGAACACATAGCAGCAAAAGCCTATACTACAAGGGGCCTTGCCCTCCAAAGAAGTAATTCTGATTTTTGTTTTTTTTTGTTTTTTTTGAGTCCCCCATTCATACTGGTTTCTGCTAAAACCACCTCAGCAACTCTACTTGCATTTCTAGCAGGCTTTAACTTTCAAGGAGCTTTTGCATCTCGTCTCCACACACAAGAGGCATCCCTCCTTTGCACCTTGGGTGCTCTGGCTGGGTGCCAGGAGTGGATGTCAGGGAAGCATGGCTTCCTGAGCTCTGCTTCCAGCGCCTGTTATGAGATGACTTCCCTTTCTAGACTTTTTTTTTCCTGTAAAGACATTTATTTATTTAGTTAGTTTTACTGATTATTATATTTGTGGTCAAGGTTTTCTGAAATACACAAAAACAGCATAGAGGAATAAAAGAGGCAGCTCACACTGATATTTTCTAATGGCCACTGTTAATTCTAGTCTCTCCTCTGTCCCTCCCTTTCTAGTTTTTTTTTTTTTTTTTAGTTGGAGTCTCACTCTGTCGCCCAGACTGGAGTGCAGTAGCCGCTCCTGGCCACCGCAGCCTCGACCTGCTGGGCT